CACACTGCTCACAGCAACCTCCAGCTCCTGGGCTTAGGCGATTCTCTTGCCTCAGCCTCCCAAGTAGCTGGGACTACAGGCACCTGCCATAATGCACAGCTATTTTTTTGTTGCAGTTTGGCCAGGGCTGGGTTTGAACCTGCCACCCTCAGTACATGGGGCTGGTGCCCTACTCACTGAGCCACAGGTGCTGCCCAGTTTTCTCTTTTGGGGTCTTGCTTTTGCTCAGGCTGGCCTTGAACTCTGTGAGCTCAAGCAGTCTACTTGCCTCAGCATCCCAGAGTGCTAGGATTACGGGTATGAGCCACTGTGTCCAGCCTAAAATAAAATTATTTACTTATTTATTTTTTGAGACAGTCTTACTCTGCCACCCTGGGTAGAGTGCCCTGGCATCATGGTAACTCACAGCAACATCAGTCTCTTAGGCTCGAGAGATTCTCTTGCCTTATCCTCCCAAGTAGCTAGGACTATAGGTGTGTGCTACTACTACCTAAATAAAATTTATTAATTCTGTTAATAATGTGGTAATTTGGGCCAGGTGCGGTAGCTCATGTCTGTGATCCTAGCACTCTGGGAGGTTGAGGCGGGTAGATTGCCCTGAGCTCACAGGTTTGAGACGAGCCTGAGCAAAAGTGAGATCCTATCTCTAAACATATCCAGGTGTTGTGGTTGTGATGGATGGCTGTAGTCCCAGTTATTTGAGAGGCTAAAGCAAGAGAATCGCTTGAGCCGAGAATTAGAGGTTTCTGTGAGCTATGATGCCACAGCACTATACCAAGGGTGACAAAGTGAGACTCTGTCTTAGAAAAAAAAAAATAATAATGTGATGATTTCAAAATATGATATTATATCTTCTTTTTTCTAGAATGATTAGGAGATGGAAAATTCCATTTAATCAAATACATGTATTACAATTAGTGACATCTTTGGCTTTCAAATTTTGAAAGAATTTTAATATGATAAAATATGCTTTCCTTGTCTAGATGATTATTTTAAAATGTCTGTTCATTCTCTTTATGATACAGAGTGAACTTTAGAAGATTTTGCAACTCTGGGAGGTTGAGGCAGGTGAATTGCTTGAGCTCACAAGTTCAAGACCAGCCTGAGCAAAAGCAAGACCCTGTCTGTATTAAAAATAGAAAACCTGGCTCAGCACCTGTGGCTCAAGTGGCTAAGGTGCCAACCACATACACCTAAGGTGGCAGGTTCAAATCCAGCCCGGGCCCCGCCAAAACAACAATGATGGCTGCAACAAAAAAATAGCCAGGTGTGGGGCGGGTGCCTGTGGTCCCAGCTACTTGGGAGGCTGAGGGAGGAGACTCACTTAAGCCCAGGAGTTGGAGGTTGCTGTGAGCTGTGCTGCCACAGCACTCTACCCAGGGGTATAGGTTGAAGCTCTGTCTCAAAAAAATAGAAAACCTAAGGCAAGAGGATCACTTGAGCCCAAGAGTTGGAGGTTGCTGTGAGCTATGATGCCATGGCACTCTAACAAGGGTGCCAGAGTAAGACTCTGTCTCAAAGAAAAAAACGATGTTGTAATATCGTGAGATAATTACTCAGAAAGTCTATTATCCTTGTATTGGCTAACTGTGGATAGCAAGTAATGGATTTCTTTTTTGTTTGTTTGTTTTTCTTTTTTTTGAGACATAGTCTCTAGTTGTCGCCTTCAGTAGAGTGCTGTGATGTCACAGCTCATAGCAACCTCTAACTCTTGGGTTCAAGTGATTCTCTTTCCTCAGCCTCTCAAGCAGCTGGGACCCCAGGCACCCACCACAACGCCCGGACATTTTTTGTTGTTGTTGCAGTTGTCATTGCGGTTTAGCTGGCCTGGGCTGGGTTCGAACCCGCTGCACTCAGTGCATGTGGCCGGTGCCATAACCACTGTGCTACGGGTGCTGCCAGCAAGTAATGGATTTCTGCTTGGTAAGATTGCACATAACAAGGAAATCACTGTATGTGGTTATCTGCGGTTATGTGAGAGTCTATATTTTATTATTTATTTGTTTTGAGACAGAGCATCAAACTGTCACCCTGGGTAGAGTGCTGTGGCACCACAACTCACAGCAACCTCTAACTCCTGGGCTTAATCGATTCTCTTACCTCAGTCTCCTCAGTCCCCTCAGCTGGGACTACAGGTGCCTGCTACAATGCCTGGCTATTTTTTGGTTATAGTTGTCATTGTTTGGCAGGCCTGGGCTGGATTCAAACCCACCAACTCTGGTGTATGTGGCTGGTGCCTTAGCCGCTTGAGCTACAGGTGCCAAGCCAAGAGTCTATATTTTAAAGAATTTTTCCATATTTGTCAGGTAGATATAATTTTAAACTTATTACCTTCATTTAGGAAATCTGAAATGAATTACCCTGGATATAAGCTAATAGCATTGGTAAAGTACAATGATAAGAGAACACCACCTAGAACTTGGATTATCATAGAATGTGTCATCATTCAAATCAGGCATGGATACTTGTATTAATCATATTTTTTATTGTCTTGAGGAAGGTCCTATAGATCTGGGAAAACACCGCCCCTCTCAGGGCTAGCTAACACCTAAAGATAGTAAGCAGCTTGCTTGGGAGAATGCCTCTCATACGCCAAGCCCCCTACTGCCTGTATCTAACTCTGACACACCAGGCCATTATTTCCCTTTCACTAAATCATCCCAAGACCAGACACCAGGCAACAACAGACCTCTCACAGAGCTCACAATAGCCAGTCTTAAACCATTTACTGGGGCCTGCCTTGCCTTTCCTGAAGAAACCCCAACAAAGGCTTTGGCCTCGACCTTCTCCTCCCTCCTCCTGCCTCCTGAGCAAACCTGGAGCTGCCCACATGGATCCTTGTGGGATGATGTTTCTCCCTTATCTTGGGAAATTTAAGTAATACATTCTCCTTTCAATGGCATTGACCTGTCCGTGTCCTCACTCAGTGACCTCCATCAATTAAAATCCCACAGGTACGAATGCAACAATGTTCTCATTTCTTTCAGGAAGATAGAAAAGAAAGACAATTTTCTGGAAAGAGGGTGACTTACTAACAACGGACTAAACATTTCAAATAGAGTATATCTTAGACATACTTGCACTGTGTCCAACAAAGAGAGGGAAGCCCAGTGGACCATGAATGAGGATCATCCATTACTTTACCTCTGTTTCCATCTCCTTATCTTTCATTCATTCTGTGTTTTGGAGGCAGCAGAGTGAGAAAATCCAAGTTTGAATTTAAGTTATTTCGTTTACCCAGGGAAGTGGTCTTGGATTAATCACTTGGCTTTAGCTTCTGGATCAGGTAGACATAAATGTGATTCCTGCTTTGCAGGATTGTGGAAAGACTCAGTGAATGCCTGGTACTTGACAAATTATTAGTTGAGCTCAAATTTGTCTAGTTACCTCTGAAATTTATCCAGTTACCTCAGAGGGAACATTATGATTTTGCAAAGAGTGAATAGTACCCAGAAGTGATAAACTCATAAACTTGACACTGGGTCATTTAGAGTAACCTACTTTACATTTTAACTTTTTCTGAAGTACATTTTTATTTTTTGCGGGGGGGGGGGAGATTTTTCTTTTTTTCCAAAAATTGCACCAATATAAACCAAAGCTCTAGTTAGTTGATGCAAGCGTGTTCGGTAGGTGTTAGCAATACTACCCTCGCTAGGCCCTTATGGGACAGTAGCGCAACCCCAAGAAAAGGATGGTTCTGAGATATATATTTAGATTAATGGGAAATCTGAGACAATCTATCCCTTTGACATTTCATGTTTCTGCCCCTTGTTTCAGAGCCCTCAGGCAAACAATCAATATCCATCCTCGGGATGACTGCTCTCTGGGGGTCTTAGTGCTCCCACAAGCTTTTCTGAAAGCTGTGTCTGGACCAAGAAGAGATGACCACAGCCACAAACTTGATACCTTTTAGCAGACTCATGTTAGTTACCACCTTGTGCTAAGTGACTGAAAATAGCTTTTTTTTTTTTTTTTTTGAGACAGAGTCTCACTTTTTCACCCTTGGTAGAGTGCTGTGGCATCATGGCTCATAGCAACCTCAAACTCTTGAGTTCAAGCGATTTGATTCTCTTGCCTCAGCCTCCAGACTAGATGGGACTACAGACGTCCACCACAACGCCTGGCTATTTTTTTAGGGACAGCGTCTTGCTCTTGCTCAGGCTGGTCTCAAAACTGTGAGCTCAGGCAATCCACCCACCTTGTCCTCCTAGAGTGCTAGGATTACAGGCATGAGCCACCTTGCCTGGCCAAATTAGCTATTCTTGTATCAATTGTATGACTCAAAGTTATTCCCTATGAGTATACCTCATGCTAACTGACTACAAACAGCAACACTTTTTTTGTTTTTTGAGACACTCTGCTGCCCCAGGTTAGAGTAGCATGGCCTCATCCTAGCTCATAGCAACATCAGATTCTGGGATTTAAGCCATGCCACAACTCTCAGTTAAGTTTTTTTATTTTTAGTAGAAACAGGATTCCCACTTTTGCTCAGGCTGGTCTTGAACTCCTGAACTCAAGGGATCCTCCTGCCTTGGCCTCTCAGAGGGCTAGGATTACAGGTGTGAGCCAGCATGTCCCACCAACAAGAACACTTTTTAAAGTTCACAGGAAGGTTCTACTTCCAGTTGGGGCACACGAAAAAAATAAAAATAAAGTTCATGGGAAGGTCACAAGAAATGCCTGCTTAGGCTGGGCATGGTGGCTCATGCCTGTCATCCTAGCACTCTGGGAGGCCAAGGGGGTTGGATTGTTCTAGCTCACAAGTTCAAGACCAGCCTAAGCCAAAGCAAGACCCCATCTCTACTAAAACTAGAAAAACTGAGGCAAGAGGATTGCTTGAGCTTAAGAGTTGGAGGTTGCTGTGAGGTATGATGCCACGGCACTCTACCCAGGGCAACAGCTTGAGATTCTGTCTCTAAATAAATAAATAAATAGGAAATGCCTGCTCAGGCCCAGGCGCGGTGGCTCATGCCTGTAATCCAGCACCCTGGGAGGGCGAGGCAAGTGGATGGCCTGAGTTCACGACTTCGAGACCAGCCTGAGTTAGAATGAGACCCCACCTCTAAAAATAGTCAGGTGCTGTGGCAGGCACCTGTAGTCCCAGCTACTCAAGAGGTTGCGGCAAGAGAATCGCTTGAGACCAAGAGTTGGAGGTTGCTGGGAGCTATGACCCCAGGGCATTCTACCAAGGGCAAAAGTGAAACTCTGTCTAAAAAAAAAAAGAAAGAAAAGAAAGAAATGCCTGCTCGGCATGAGTCAATCCTGCTGTGTAGGACAAGTTCTGTATGCTTTGATTTCAAAGTACTTTGGGAAACCTCCGTGTAAATTATGTGACAGACCAAAACTGCTGTGGACTTAACAGTGAGCCAAAAAGCCTTTTACTTGCCCAATCTCAATTCAGGCTCTCAATGACTTCTAGAAAAGATGATGGCATAGCTAGCACCAAAATAGGATGAGAAAGAGGCTGTGGTAGCCCAGTCCCTGTTGGTCTCACCAACTGACACAGAAACCAAAACCATCAACAGATTCACTACTTTGTATTAGTTACACTACAGAGCCCAGAGCCACATAAACAAACGCTCTCAACAGGGATTTCTATTCCTCCCAGAACTTGAATATCCCTGATGTTCACCCTTAATGAGCATTATTATGAACTAGCATTGTCTAGTTTGTAAGTTTTGTGCTTGAGTGTATCTTTTGAATGTTTTTCTAAAAAAGAAAAATCTACTTTATTTAACTCAAAAAGATTGCTTTGCACAAAAGAAATGTTGAACAGCATTCCTCTTTTAATTGTGATCTTGGGCTTCGCGCCTGTGGCTCAAGTGGCTAAGGTGACAGCTACCCACCTGAGCTGACAGCCATCCAGCCTGGGCCCGCCAAACAATAATGACAGCTGCAACCAAAGAATAGCTGGGCATTGTGGCGGGCACCTGTGGTCCCAGCTACTTGGGAGGCCGAGGCAGGAGAATTGCTTAAGCCCAGGAGTTGGAGGTTGCTGTGAGCTGTGACGCCACAGGACTCTACCCAAGGCAACAGCTTGAGGCTCTGTCTCAAAAAAAATGTGATCTTGGAGAAATATCTTAAACTTACCAGGTATAATTAATTTATCATAGGGGATCATTTTGCCTCTGACTTCTTCCTCCTCCTCTTCATCTTCCTCTAAAAAAAGGAAGGATATTTGTCATCATGGTTATTACCATGCTGCTACTATGGATTAAAGCAAGAAGTCCAAATATTTCAAATAACCATCACTAATGAAAACTAGAACATGTGTTTCAGAAATATTCTCACAACCTAAATGTACACTGATAGATGAATGATAAAAGTCATCCTGGTCAGGGGCAGTAGTTCACATCTGTAAACCTAGCCCTCTGGGTTCCTGAGGCAGATGGATCCCTTGAGCTCAGGAGTTTGAGACCAGCCTGAGCAAGAGCAAGACCCTGTCTCTGCTAAAAATAGAAAAAAAACTAGCCGGACATTGTGACAGGCACCTGTAGTCCCAGCTACTCAAGAGGTTGAGGCAAGAGAATTGCTTGAGCCCAAGAGTGTGAGGTTGCTGTGGCTATGACGCTGCGGCACTCTCTTGAGGGCGACAAAGTGAGACTCTTGTCTTAAAAAGAAAAGAGAGAATAGGCTCGGTGCCTGTAGCTCAGTAGCTAGGGTGCCAGTCACATACACCAGATCTGGTGGGTTTGAATCTCAGCCTGGGCCTACCAAACAACAATGACAACTACAACTGAAAAAAAAAAAAAACAAACAAGAAATAGTCAGACGTGGCAGGTACCTGTAGTCCCACCTACTTGGGAGGCTGAGGCAAGAGACTCCTTAAGCCCAAGAGTTTGAGGTTGCTGTGAGGTGTGATGCCATAGCGCTCTACCAAGGGTGACAAAGTGAGACACTGTCTCAAAAAAGAAAAGAAAAGAAACAAAGAAACGAGAGTATATCTCATGTTGTGTTTGTGCCACAATAAAATAAAATAAATATTTTAAAAATACTTTAAAGTCTGGAAAAAGAAAAGAAGAAAAAAATCTCTATATAGTCTCACATCTGAAAAACAAAGAAAAAAGACTACATAACCTAACAAAACATGAGCCAAAATCCAAAAATAAATAGGTTCTCCAATTTTTATTTATTTTTTTTAATTTTTTTTTTTTTTTTTT